ACTTATGCCAGAACTTTCCTGGCCTCTAATCCCATATGAGAGTTTTTACAGACTGGGAATAGCTTCCCAATCAATTTAGAGGAAAAAAAGTACTGACCAGGCTGAGCATCAGTAGTGCCAAAAGCTTTTTAGTACTTCTACCCTTAGCCTCAGGCTTATGGGTCCATCATTTCAAGTGCTCTCAGAATTTTGGTATTTGAACTACACTTTCACTGCACTCATTTGTACACATATGTTGTAGGCTTGATATTTTCCATAATGTAAACAAATACACATTGCTTGTCCTGAATGAGGAAAGGAATAAGCATTTATTAAGCACCAAACATTTATTAAGCACCTATTACGTGCCAGGCACTGTGCTAAGTGCCTTAAAATATTACCTCATAAAAATAAAATAAAATAAAAAATAAAATATCTCATTTGAGATATTATCCCATTTGAGCCTCATAACAACCTTGGGAGGTAGGTACTATTATTACCTCCATTTTACAGTTGAAGAAACTGAGGCAGACAGGGATTAATAACTTGCCTAGTGAGGATTTGAACTCAGGTCTTCCTGGCTCTGGACCCAATGCTCTATTCGCTGCATCACCTAGCTGTCAGGGACTGTTTAATCTTTTGTCTTTTGTCTTTTGTCTTTGTCATATCTTTTCTTTTTTCTCTTTGTGAACCTGGCACTGTACCTGTAGTACATAGTAGGTGCTTAATATATAGATGTTGGTGATGAAATGAAGAGAGAGAAATCTCTGCCCACCTCTCAAAAGGAGACTGATTTCCTCTCAGGAGTTAGGTTCTTCTTCCATAGCTGGCTCTCTTCTTCTTCTTCTTTTTTTTTTTTTTTCGTCTAGGCAGTGTGGTTAAGTGACTTGCCCAGAGTCACACAGCTAGTAAGTGTCAAGTATCTGACACCAGATTTGAACTCAGGTCCTCCTGACTCTAGGGCTGGTGCTCTATCCACTGTACCACCTAGCTGCCCCTTATAGCTAGCTCTCTTCTCCCAGAACTGATACTCCTAGATGCTGTCCCTAGCATTGACTGACTTCCCTTTAAAGAAAGATACTGTAAACACTTCATTCGAAACCTTTATACCTTGTCTCTGTAACATTCTATAATTTCATCAACTGGGCTGGAGGAAAATCAGAAGTCTCCTGATCATCTCTATACACCCACTATAGATACTTAATAATCTCTTGTTAAATGGTTAATTAATTATATGGTCTGGGTCATTATATATATGTTTAGTATATTCCATCTGCAGGAAGTGCCCTCCCTTAATCTCGCTCTATTGATATCCCTGCTCTCTCAGGCCCAGGCACTAATCATCCTTCAGGGTTTTGTGGGTTTCTCTCTTCTATAACGCCATTGGTTTGAATCCCCCACTAACTGAGTTCCTCCCACATTAGCAGACTAACACCCCAGGTCCATCTAACTGCTTAACAACAATAAGCTTTTACAAAAGGATATTTACTTCAAAGATATAGCATCTTTCCCCCTAAAAAAGAACCTCAGGAGCAGACTCTCCTCAAACACCACCTCAGTCTTTGAGGGAGTAGGCTTACAACTCAACTCAGTTCCTATATAGCACTGGTCCTGTCAAACACGTCCAGATGAGGCACACCTGCTAAATGAGTCCATATTTCAGCTACCTCTATTTGAATCATTTGAATGGACCATAGAATGTAGGAATTCAAGTAATGTATAATGAGACTGGAAAAGTAGGATGGAGTCGGGTTGTGAAGGGCATTAAATTTCAACAGAGGTATCCATATTTTACCTTAGGAGTAATAGGGATCCACTGTGTTTACTGAAGTGAAAGGGGATGACATGAGAACCCTGAAACATACAGGAAATCCAGTTCCAAATACTCACTAGGACAAGCAGGCTAACTTGAAAAAGAAAACAAACTCTGAAAGGCGCCGAAGAGATGCAGGGTTCCCACATATGGGGTCGAATACTCCTGGCTTCTAGAACACCAGAAAAACTTTATCCTATGGATCTGCAGTGCAAAGAGTACCTCAGATAAGCTGTCTATACTCATGTCACCATGATGAAGGCAGTTTAGGTCTGCTTACAATTTTTTTTTTAAAAGTTAACATGGATGAGTTCACATAATATGCTCTAGATAAATTGCTGGTCACTAGTATTCTAGGAGTACAAAATCCATTCTTGTCATATTAGCTTCCATACTCCATAATGAGTAGAGAAATACAATAGATATTATTAATAGTTAAACATGCAACCATGTAAGTTATTTCAGAGGAACTAGCCTGACTTATAAGGAAAACATACCAGAAAGTTATCCAATTACAGTCTAAATAAAAGAGCATTTTCCTCTTCAGAGAGTCTCGGATGGCTAATATCTCCAGTGGATTCTTCCTAGTGTGTAAGAAACCCAAATACATCCCAGAAGAGGCCTCTACAGTGTGGCACCCCCTCTGGGTTACTCTCCCAACTTACATTCCCAACTTAACACTCACAGTTTGATTCTCCAGAGAGTAGCTGCTACCTCAAGTTGTAGGGGTAACTCTTTGGATCTATCCTTCTAACACTATAGCTCATGAGCCCCTATCAATGTGCTTCCCCTTAACAGTCAGCCAGTAGACACAATTAGCTATTAACAAATCATTTACTAAGATAGCATAGTAAGAATAGCAGATACAAAATATTTCCTTCCCCATAAAGTGAGGTGCATTTACAAATATGCATAGCATCCGCATCCACGGGAATAGTAGGTTCAAACTCCAAGTGCAATGATAGGAATATATGTAGGAAACATATGTGGCAAAAGCAACTCGCAACTCCTGGTACTGCAGAGCCTAGAAGTCCTTTCTCTCTTTCTGAAGTCCTCATTAAATAAATGTTCACAGGGTTTGCTCTTCTCTATAGTCCAACTTTCAATTGCCAGTGGTCAGACTACTTGAAGCGGCTTTCTTTTTGAGTGACTCCATCTGTATCTGCCTGGGATATGTGTCTCTGCTTGCTGTTAGATGTAGAGTTTCCTACTGATCCCATGGCTCCCTTCAAAGCTATATGATTAATTGGGGGTGGGGGAGACATCTCACTCTACAACTGCTGTAAGTTTTATTTATTTATTTCTTGTGAGGCAGTTGGGGTTAAGTGACTAGCCCAAGGTCATACAGCTAGTATCATGTGTCTGAGGCTGAATTTGAACTCAGGTCCTCCTGACTCCAGGGCCAGTGCTTTATCTACTGCACCACCTAGCTGCCCCTGCTGTAAGTTTTGATGCCTTGACTGACTTGAGCTCCTCGAGGCCTAACTATTTAAAGCCCTTAGAGACATGGCTAATTTACTTTCTCAACCAATTGTGTTGTTCCTCCAAACTCAATCAGAGAAGTACTTAGCCTCATAAAATTGTAATCATTCTCTGAAAAAGGGGGGTAGGAGGAAAAGGCAGATTTTTCCTCCCCCTAAAGTGGGCCTGGACCCACATAGACTTCTGGGATTTTTGAGTTTTTAAGACCTAACAGATTTGGGTCAGATCTTGCCTGGTCTGGACCCCCATGGACTTCCAGGAATTTAAATTTTTGCTTATCCCTGGAGTCAGGAAATATCTTGTGGTTTTAGTACTGGGGTGGAACTTTGGGAGACCAGAATAAAAAGAAAAGAGGTGAAGAAAGAGCGAAGAGGAGAGGGCATTTTCCTGCCTGGGAACAATTTTAATAATAGCAGCACTAAGGCCTGAGCTGCTAAGAAGTCATTTCCCTTCTTAGGACACCAACAGACATTCAGTTTGAAATATTCAACAGACAATTGGTAATGAGGGACCAAAGATCATGAAAGAGGCTATGGCTGGAAATAGATATGAGTATCATCTGTATAATTAATCTAGGAGTCATTTGCATAATTTAACCCATGGAAGATGATGAGGTTGCAAAGTGACAGAATGTAGAGAAAGAAGAGGGCCCAGAACAAGAGCCTGGTGGTACACCTTCATTTATTGGGCATGATGAATCAGTAAAGGAGGAAGACAGAGTGATCAGACAGGTGACAAGAACCAAGAGAGAACAGAGTCATGAAAACCCAGAGAAGACAGAACATCCATGAAGAGAAGGTGTTCAACAGTGTTAAATCCTTGAGATAGGTCAAGAAGGATAAACGTCAAGAAAAGGCTGGTCAGATTAGACAATTAAGAGATTAATGGTAATCTTGGAGAGCACAATTTCTGTTTAGTAATGAGATCAGAAGCCAGATTGCAAAGGATTGAAAGTGAGAGGATGAGAGAGTTATTCCAATGTCCTTCTGAAGTCTGGGTAAACTATATCCCCAGTATTCCTTTCAATTTTTAATAGTACTCTCAAAAAAGGAAATGGAGTTAATCTGCCATGATCTGTTATTGATGAAACTACACAGGCTTCTAAAATCATTCTTTCCTTTTCTAAATGTTTTCTAACCATCTCCTCAGTGAGACATTGTAGAATTTTGTTTAGAATTGTTAAGTTCTCTACCCTAAAATTGGTGGACTCCATTCCCTTCCCCTTTTTTTGAAAATTCAGAAGATAACATTTGCTCTTCAGTGGTCCTTCCCTCCTCTCATTCTCCATAACCTTTCAAAGATCACTGTGGCTTAGCATTAACATCTTCCACTTCTTTGTGGAATATAATTTGCATGGGCCTGGTGACTTGAAGTCATCAGCGATAGTGAAGCGTTATCTCATTATTTCCTTACTTAGCCCGGATTTCAAATCTGTATCAGTCATTGTTTTGTTTTATCCTATACAGTGCCATTCAGACCAGTCCTTAAGAGGCATGGTCGTCAGTCCTCTCAACATCCTGGTCACTCTCTTCTGGATGTGATCCAATTTGTCAGTATACTCCTTCACCGGTAGCTTCCTTCAAGATCACGTGGCTCTACCATCCCTCCTTATGCATCAGCTCTGGTCATTCCTCATTTTCTCAGCTCAGTGTTTTCCTGGCCTCAGCTTTACTTGGCACTTCTTACTTCTGAAGCTCTGGGGGAGTAACAGGAAATCAGAACCCACCTGGGAAAAGAAGGATATCATTTGCTCCAGACAATCTCCTCGGTACTGCTCCACAGCTTTCTGCTTTTCTGTCCAGGTCTGCAGCCTGCGGCTCTGGCACCTGTCTATTTTTTCTAGGAGGATACCAAAGTTTTGGGCATCATTGACATTCCCAGTTTTTCGGCTGGCTTCTATATGGTTGATTATATCCTGCCTGGGAAGAGAAAACAGGAAGGAATTCAATGGATAGAGGGGTTTCTTCAGGTTTCTTATAAGACTCAGCTCAAATCCCACCTTCTACAACCAGAGGCCTTTCCCATTGTTTTTTCCCCCCCTGGAAGGGGGAAGTTTAATGGAATGATAGAGAGGGAGTAGAAAAAGTTGAAACAATTTCCTCGGATTCCCTTGTAATTATTTTTAAAGTGCTGCTTGTTTTTTAAAAGAAAAGAATTACAGAAAAAAAGAGAGACATTCCTGAAAGAGGAACCCCACTCCCACTCCCCAGGCCAAATGCAAAGTTTCCCTGGCAGAGTTCTGAGGAGGATAAGATAATCCCCCTAGGAAGTTAAATTGGTTGCCCAGGGCAGGAACCCAGAGTAAAAGGGGCCTCGTCTAAAGTCTACTTGGATGCTTTGCATGACCTCACATGTACAATTGATATTATATTGCTTGCCTTCTCAATCAGTGGGAGAGGGGCCAGAGGGAAGGACAGAATTTGAAACTCAAAATTTCAAAAGAATGAATGAATGAATGAATGAAGTCTACTTGGGCGTCCCCAGAGCCTTTCCCCAGGTCACACTCACTGCCTCCCTTCAGGGAGCCTCTCAAAGTTTCTTCCCCTCAAGGCCGCCTATCTAACTAGCTCCTTTCCCTGACTTCTCTCCCTTTCTCTGCAGAATCCTCTCCCCAGCTCAGCTCATGGAGCTGAGTAAGTACACCTACCTCACGCCCTGGAACGTCCTATAGGTGCTGTATTTCTGGATCAGGCACCCGAGCTTGGTGATGTCTGTGTGGAGTGCGTCGATGATCAGCTTCCCGGCCAGGCTGTGCAGGTGAGCAGGAAGGCCCAAGCTCTCAGCGGCCTCATTCAAGAGCAGCAAGTTCACTCTCTGGCCCTGCACATCCACCCTGTACTTCTCCTTTGGTACAGAGGTCAGTCTCCCAGGAGTGCTGGCTTTATTGGGGAAGGGACAGGGAAAGGGTTTGGGCCCCAATTTCATGGATCCTTGATGGGCCCCCTGGCATCCGAAGGTACTGACAGAGGGCAGTTGGGGTTCATAGACCGCCGGGGTCTGGAACCTCCCCCAATATTGGCTTCGGCAGACCCTGTTCACGGGGTTTGCTACCTCCGCCAGCTCCTTCCTTGCAGAGGGTGGCAAGGATGCGTAAGTCTCCTTGCTGTGCTCCAGCTGCTGCTCATTTAGCTCCCTTCTCTGCTTCAATAGCCACTCGTGGTTAATACGCTCTTGCCTCTTCCTGTGCAGCCCCTCCTCCAGCTTCCATTGCCACCGTTTCTCCTTGTGTTCCCTTTCCAGTCGTTCCCACTTCTTCTGCTGCTCTTGCCACCGCTTCTCCTCCGCCTGCCATTGCTTCCTTCTTTCCTGCCAACGCTTCTCTTCCCCCGCTTGCTCTTCTTGTGGGAGGCCTGTCTTCTCTTCAAGAGGCATCTCAGCTGGCAAGCCTCGCTGGGTTTCTCTGGGTAAGTCTGAATCCTTCTCTTCAGCAATCCAGACTACCACTTCTCTTTCTTCAGAAACTATGCAATCTTTGCCTTTGTAGCCTGCAGGTTTCAAGGCAGTGACCTTGTCCTTGAAGACTATGGCATTTTCAACATGGATGCCCATGTTCTTAGAATCTTCAGAGTGCAAGCTCATTTTTGGAAGTGGCTGCTTCAGGAAGGGTGTGCAATCACTGCCCATATTGACATCCATGTCTTTTGTCTTGGTGTTTGGAAAGAGCTGAGCTGCTTCCTCCTCTTCCTCTTTTTCCTCCTCCGCCTCCAGGGTTGATTGCTCCTTCATTTCCTCAAGCTTTTGCTCTATTTCTGTCTCGAATACTTCTTCAGTCATAGGAAGGCTCATTTTTTTAGATGCCTGAGATTTTAGGGGCCTAGAAACACACTCGATGAAGTCTCTTCTGTCCCTATCTCCTCCACCCATCTGCAACTGGTATTTCATGGGTTTTTCTTCCAGAAGTTGTTGGTATTTCTGCTCTGATGCTTGGACCTGAATCTCTAGAGCTTTCTTCATATCCTCAAGGACTTGGAGCTCCTTGTGGAAGAGGAGTTTTTGATTGTTTATCTCTTTTGACATCTCTGCTTCTAGGATTTTATACTGGGCTTCCAGCTTGTGGTTTTCTTGAAACTGAAGGATCAAGGCCTGATTAAGGTTTTCTACCATGGTAGATATGTACTTGATAGCTTTTATTTCTCCCTTGTTGAATACAACAGAGTCCAAGAGTTCCTGAAGCATCGCCCAGACCTCACCTACCTTTGCATTTGTGGTATTTCTATCTTTAAGCATCTGCTCTGGGCTCAGAGGCTGAAGTGGGGAGGAAGATTTATGTAGAATTTTCTCCCTCCAGGCTTTCCAAAAATTGCCCTTAGGCCCTAAGGATAACAGAAAAATAAAAGAAAATGAGTTCTTGCTGTGACCTAGAGTTGGCATAATTCCCTAGTATTTGTTTCAGCCCAATTCCCATCTAACTCTGTTGGGACTTTAGTCTAAATGACAGCTGGGGCAGGATGGGGACCACTGTAGACTGTCAGGAAGAAAACTCTGTTAAGCTTGGAGTCTTACAACTGGGAAGAGCCCTTCAGACTCCATAGGCATTTTGTGTCCTGATGGACATTCACTCCCTCTTACCTCCGCCTCCTCCACCCATTGAGAAAGCAAGAGGGAAAAAAATTATCAACCCATCTTCTCTTTCCCTTGTTTTTCTTCTCTCTGTTCCCTTGTCTCCAAGAGATAGCAACTGCATCTCCCAGGGGTATCCCACCCTGAAAACATGGGCTCTTCTCCATCTCTGATAGCCCTCTATACCTTAGAAAGAACTCCAGTTGAGCATCTATGGTCTTCTGGCCTGTCATTCACCATCAATTCAAACCAAACCAGAGAATCTTCAGCCTCTATCAGGATCAATGCCCCCTACCCTTCCCCTCTCTGACCCATCCCATCCAGTCCCAGTGCATGTGGGACTCACTTAGCTTTCTTTTCTTTTGCTCTTCAATCAGATTAGAACAAAGGGAAATCAAAGATTCGATGCCACCCTCTGTGGCAATGAGAGAAAGTGGCAGCACCCTCTCCATGACTTCCACCCATTCATCTTGTTTGTCACATTCCTTTTCACTTTCCTTAGGTTTGGTCTCATAGGACAAATTGTCACCTGAAGAAGAGGCAAAGGGTTAGGGATCTCCAGGCTCAGAATGGCCTATCCTGTTAATAGAGCCAAGAGATGGACATTGGCAGCAACAGTCCCGTCCGCAGATGGTGGTGAGACTGTAGGATTCAAGGAATCCAGAATTCCATAAGATTTTAGTCCCTGGGGGAGATAGTAAAGGGGAATACCAGACATCAATAAGTGGGTGAGAGCTCTCTTGGGACACTAGCTTCACGTAATTGCATCCCTATACAAGAATAATGAGATTCCACCCTTAAAACCCTAGAGTCTAGGGGTGGAGAGCCTGTAGCCTCGAGGTCACATGCGGCCCTCTAGGTCCTCAAGTTCAGCCCTTTGACTGAACCCAAACTTCACAGAACAAATCTCCTTAATAAAAGGATTTGTTCTGTAAAACTTGGACTCAGTCAAAAGGCCACACCCGAGGACCTCGAAGGCCACATGTGGCCTCAAGGCCGCAGGTTCCCCACCCCTGCAGAACCACCTAAAGCAGTACCTTACCCCATTCACTCATCCAGTTGAGGATTTCATAGAGGTTCCTCTCCTTTGTCTCAGCAGCCTTTGAGAAGGAGGCTATTTTCTCCAGCAAGTCAAACCTCTTCTTACCCTTCTCTTGTTCCCCTTGATTGTTTTTCCTCTCTTTTAGATCTGATCCTAAATCTTCTTGGAAGCGATTGATAACATCATTGACATTGCCCAAGATGTCAGAGAGCTGGATAGAAATGTCCTATAGGCCAGGGCGGGAAGGGAGAGGATTCACACTGGGATTCACAATAACCAATTCTTCAGCACTTGGGGTTGGTGTGGGGCTCTGGGTGCCTCTCCTCCCAGAATCTCTGAGGGAATGAATAATTAGAAGCTCATTTCCCTTTGGGGAAAATGAGGCCCTAGGAGCACCCCCCCCACACATTCTGAGCACTGTCAGGAAAGATCCCAGAAGCTCCGCCTACAAGTTTATGTTTTACTCTGATCTGAATCAGCTTAGGGAATCCTGTACAGGAAACTGAAATAGACATAATCCATCATCAGGATTCTATGCCCCTCTCGCCCTCCATGAAAATCCATGAAAATCATTCATTAAAATCACTTTGTAGTCCTGGATCTTTGCCTCAGTGTCTCAGCCCCTCCTTCAGTCTTTATTCCCCTTTTTCAGTCCTCTTCCTGAGAATATCTTAGACCTTGTCACACATCTATGTATCTGCTCCTCTTGTCTCAGGAAGCCAATTTGGTTCCACCTTATCCTCTGTGAGATATATCTGGGAAAGGTATCTACTCTGGCTGGACCTTCCTGTGTCCTACAATAGGTGTTCAGGTCATGCCCAAGACTACCCTAAGCGTTCAAATCTAGGATCTCCAGGATCTACCCCAGCAAGCCACCCCCAGCCCTGGGGTCACCCCTAACCTATGTCATGCGATGGAATCAGTGGTTTCTTTCCACCTTCCTACTTCATTCCACTCACCTCTTGGGCTCGCTTCAGCTGGGCTGCTTCAATCTTTGAGATGATTGCCTTCACAGTTGAAGGGGTCACCAGCTGGTGACGTCTAGTAAGGTCTCTCCCAAAGGAACTTTCTGTCATGGTGAAGACTTAGATCTCGGGGAGGAAGAACTGAGAAACCGTGCTTATGTAAATGAATAAACACCAAAAAAAAAAAAAGTACTACCTCAGCAGATTCTGTAGGAACACTCATAAAAATCCTCCTTGCTCTATTGCAGTTTCTCCTGTAACTGCCAGATACAGGGTTCCATTTATCTCAGAGTTCTCAGAACTGACCCTTAGACCCAGGGTGACATCATCAGTTCTGTAGGATGCTGACTCTACCTAGCTAGCTAGTTATCTCTCTGACACTCATGTGCCTCATTTTGAGAAACACAGGCTAAGTGCTTTGCTTATTAATTGAACTGGGGAAGGGGCTAGAAATCTCCCAAACTTTAGACGCTCACAAAGTCACAGCCTAGTCTGTTCTGTCTCTAATACTCCTTCATCTAATCGGTCAATTTCATTAAAATGTATTAAGTACCTAGTATGTCCCAGGTACTATGCTTACTGCTGAGGATATAAACATGAAAAAGGATAGTCCACACCCTAAAGTATCTTAAAATTTAATGGGGGAAGACAGAATACAAAAGAGAGCTGAAAGGAGGGGTGGGGGAAGGTACCCTCAAAGGGACATGATGGAATCTAAAGAGTGCAATCAGGTAGGAAATGAAGAGATGGCTAGCCTGGGAGCGCTTTGTAGTACTTGATCTTTTCCCTCAGTGCCTCAGCCCCTTCCTCTGTCTTTATTCTCCCTTCTCATTCCTCTTCCTAAAATATCTCAGACCTTGTCCCACACCTATGTGTCTGCAAGCAGATACATAGAAGGTGAGATTTTAGCTGAGATTTGAAGGAAGCCAGGAGACAGAGATGAGGCAGGGGAGAGAATTCAAGGCATGGAAGGCAGCCAGTGAAAATTTGCACAGTCAGGAGGATGGAGTGTCTTGTGCCCAGAACAGGAGGGAAGCCAGTGTCACTGAATCATGTGTAGGTGGGGGGGAAATAAGGTATAAAAAACCTGGAAAAACAGAAAGGGGCCAGGTTATGAAAGGGCTTTAAAAGACAAGAAGAATTTTTTATCTGTTCCTGGAGGTGATAAAGAGTCACTGGGAGTTTATTGAATAAGGGGGTGATATGGTCAGACCTGCCCTTTGGGAAGATAAGTTTGACAGATGAATGGAGACAGATTGGAATGGGGAGATGTGGTAGCTGAAAGATGAAATGACTGAGGAAATGAGGTTCGAGCTTCTGAGCATATCGATGTATTAAGCAGTGCATGCCAATTGCCTAACAAATCAGGATCAGTTGCCTCCCTCACTTGTGGCACTGACCCAAAATACAGGGGGAGACAGAGTTTTATGCATTAAAAAAAACAATCAAATAAGACCAATTAATTAAAAGAAAACAACGAGGCTACAAAATTAGGTAATCTGATTTCTTGGAAAGGTGCAAAGAGTTTTTTGGTTTTTTTTTACAATTATACATCTCAAACAACCCATATGTCTTATCTGAAAACTGACCCTGTATTGGTCAATCAGTTATTGTTTCCACGTTCCTTTGATTGTTTACAATCTTATGGGGTGGGGGGAGTGGGATACCTCTTTTTCTGATTTCAGGGAATTGTACCTCTTCACTCCTCTCTCAACTTGGAAAGTTCCTAATCTTTCCACCAATTAGAAATCAGATTACTTAATTTTGCATCCTGGTTAATTGTTTTCTTTTAATTAATTGGTCTTATTTGATTAATTTTTTAACATACAAAAATCTGACTCCTCCTATATTAGGGGTCCAGAGCCAAACTAAGGAAGGTGACTGGTCCTGATTTTTGGGGCAATTGGCATGCATTGTTAATAAATCTACATGCTCAGAAGCTCAAACCTTTGTGTGGTTTTTTTTTTTTTGATAATGTTTTTCAGTTAGAGGAGATGTGTCTAGACAGCAATTCATCTGATAAAACAATCTGAAAGTTTTTCTGATCTGCATACTAAATATAAGTCAATAGCATGACATAACCACCAAAAAAAGTGGATATGATCTTAGGCCACATTAAGATAATAATAGCTAGCATTTATATATGTTTCACAGGAAAACAAACAGGTAACACCATTTGTTGGGAAGGAGGACACAGGAGGGCTCCTAACACTAACAGGTGTTCTAACACAGGTTCACTTTTGATCTGGTCAGACAGGAAGACAGCTTCGGAGGGTTAAACGAGCTTACTTTATTCTAGTCTAGTCTTCTCAATAGAGTTGCTGATAATGGTACCACCAACTCCTACAGCATTCCCTAATCACACTTGTCACAGGGGCGGGCGAGAATGGAGTATAACTCCTTCAAGACCCCCTAAGTCTCAACGGGGGTTGGTTGAGGCAAACACAGATTCCCCCCACACCTTGATGGGAACCGATCAAGGCAAGTACATGCATTACTCTATTACCCAAATCCCAAAATGGGTTCCCTACTTACTAACCAGTGCCCACTTACTTTATAAGGCAACAGACAAAGAAGGAACATTGCCAGCAATAGCCTCACAGTTAAACTTTAGCAATATCATCATGACCTAGCATGGTGCAGGCATACTCTGCTGCAACTATGCAGAAGAAGTTGTTTTCAGCCATAATTCGTGGGAAATATTATCTAGGATCCTAGAACTATTATCTAAAAAGGAATAAAAAAATTCTCCTTACACAACACTAAAATCCGCCTAACTTACAATATAGCACTTATGATGTGCCAGCCACTGTTAAGCACAATAATAACAGTTATTATTCATTGTTAATTATAGTAACATTTTAAATAACAGTAACTTTTATATAGCACTTACTATGTGCCAGGTACTGTGCCAAGTGCTTTATAATTATTATCTCCTCTCCCCCCACCAGAGAAATTTTATTTTCCTCTTTTCATTGAAGAGGTGGAAGACTATGTAACATTGTGTATGCAGTCTGACATGGTTTATCTATCAGCCGACCTTGCTAAACTGATTTTGTTGCTTAATCTGGGTTACAAGAAAAAAGCCACAGTGTAACAAAACTGATTGAAAACATAATAAAAGTAGTAAGAATATTCAGACTCAATATGCAGGCAATGGGAAACACTAAAAAAAAAAAGACTATTTAGACTCTCATGCATATCCCTGTTAGGTGCAATCTTCTATTTCAGTCAAAAAGTCCCTCCTCCTACTTCGTAGGAATTATTGTGGTCTATCTCACTGATAGCACCAAATATGTTTATCTACTTTTTGCTGTTCTCCGTCTTGTTTCAGATCTATACTGAATCCTTGAAGTATGCATTGTATTCGTTGTGGGCCAGGGCTATAATCTATAACTAGTAGCCCCCAACTTAGAACTAATTAGAATGTAAGGCAATGACTTATTGTCTATTTATATCTAGAGCTATGCTCTGTACATCATCTCAGCCCTTTTTCAGGTGACAGCATTTTTGGCGCCGGAACTCCAATCTGTGAAGAGACTACATGTCTCACTCTTAATGAATTCTTTTTTTTTTTTTCTGGTGAGGCAGTTGGGGTTAAGTGACTTGCCCAGGGTCACACAGCTAGTAAGGGTCAAGTGTCTGAGGTCACACTTGAACTCAGGTCCTCCTGACTCCAGGGCCGGAGCTCTATCCACTGCACCACATAACTGCCCTACTCTTAATGAATTCTTAACTGGTAAATTATTATCTCCTTTGATCTTCACAATAACCCACAGAGGTCCTCACAATAACCCTGCTATTATTTTCTCCATTTTTGTAGAGGGGGTCAAATAGTATCTGAAGCTGGATTTGCATGCAAGTCTTCAGAACTCTAGGCCCAGCACTCTATCCACTATACCATCTAGCTGCTTCCTATCAACAGAAAGACGAAGTGTCCATGACTAAGTAATGTTTAGTAGTCTTGTTGTCTGTTGTACTCTGCCCTGGTCAGACCTCGTAAAATTATGTTTAATTTTAGGTGTAGCATCTTACTTAGGGCAGATTTAGTAAACTAAAGGGCAACCATAGCATTGAAAGGCTCTAATCTTGAGATCATGCTCTCTGAGAATCCATTGAAGGAAATGAGAATTTTAGCCTGGATAAAATGAATCTTCAGTGATAGCTGTTGTTTGACAATTATTTGAAGGGCTGACATATGGAAAGCAGTCCTTAGAATTGTTCTAGACCTAGAGGGCAGAACCACACAAATCTATGGCAGATACAGATTTAAGGCAGATTTAAGCTACCTAGAAGGATTTTTTTTCCTAATAATTAGGGCCACTCCAAAGTAAAGAAGCTCCATCGGGAGGTAATGGATTACGCCTCAATGGAGATCATTAAGCAAGGACTGGATATCCACTCATTCAGTATGTTAAGAAGAATATTTCTTTAAAAAATGATAATGGGATAATTTGTTGGAACTGAGGTAGAGAAAACAAATCAGAACAGTACATGTACGATATTCAGCACACAACAAAAATTAAAGAAATTTAAAACCTGCTTAAAGCAAAATATTTGAAGGAAAAAAATTAAAGTGAAGAAGTATAATGATAAAAAAAAAAACCCTTCACTATTTCATGATTACAGCTTGTACTTTGTACCTAAATCAAATAAGTTACTGAATTCCTAATGAAATACAGATTCATGTTAATAGATTCCTATAAAGTGAATTTAGGGGTTTGGATACATTTTCTAAAAATCTTGCATTGGAAACTGGGTGACTAATTCCTGAAAGCAGACTAACAGATGGAAGTGAGGATGAGAAATTAACTATGAAACAGTTTTTTACACATAAAAAAGATTCTTGGTACAATTTGCTTTCCAGTTCCATCCAGCCATGGAATTCTGGGATTCTGAGAGTGAAAGAAAGAGATCCAACATGTGGAAGAGTTTGCTAAGCATCAAAATGGCAGGGTATGGGTAGGAGGTGGAGTTCAGAGGAAACAGTAGAATAAGGAGACAAAAAAGGATAGGGCCTGGGGAGAACCAGGGATGAGGTCTATGGGGCTGGGCCTCCTGCTTTCTTCTCACCTCACTTTATTTACCTCTAATTTTATTTTGTACTACCA